CCTTCTTCTTCTTCTGTCCTTCTTCTTCTTCTTCTCCTTGCCCTTTACGTAACGTAAGTGCTCAATATCAATGCCGACTTGATTGATTGACTCGCTTAGATACACGCGTCTAGTCACGTAGTCACGTGACATAGAGACGCGATTGTCAATCCAGAATCCATCTTTCCTGCCCCGTGGCATAATAACAGTTTTAGAAAATCCGGCGTGATTGATGATGACAACTGATGACAATGACAATGACAATGATGAGCAATGACAATGATGACAATGACAAAGTATGATGATGATGATAATAGGGTGATGATGATGAGCAAGGCTCGCTAATTAACGATGACAATATATATATGCTGATGGACGAGATGCTCATCGGAGTTAATTAAAAACACTTTTTTAGTTGCTTATTTTTTCGCTTCTGATTGCTCTGGAATATGTTTGCACCATGCCGTATTCTGTTGTATAGCTATCGTACGTCATAGATTGAATGCGCCAATATGAATGTTATCGGGTCCCAATAAACTTTTTTTTTCAATTTGTTTTCATTCGCTCCTGGCGTCTATCGTGCATTGCATACGGCGTTTTATTTGCTCTCTGGCGAATAGACTTTTAAAATAATAATACTACACTGCGTAGGATGAGCATCCGTAAAAGATTTCCCGCGCATCTTTCGCGGTCAAAATAACAAACAGTTCGATCACTATAGAGCCGTTTTGGCGCGAAAGATCATCCTAGCAAGCGTCTATGGGTATCAACCTAGTACGGCCGGATTGGTGCGCAGGCCTATTGTTTGCAGTGACCCCGCCATATAATCATGAAGTAGATCGCTCGTGCGGTGTTGAAGTGACAGCATTTTAGATGCCAATTAACGAGGCTGCACGTCTGTGGAAGAGCGCGAGGTTAGTGCCGCGTCTTGAAAAGACCGTGTTGATCTAGAAAACGAGCGCGTTCTGTCGTAAAAATTAATTGTTTTTGGGGGAGCGAGTCTGGAGCTATTTTCGCAGTAATTTATATCCGAGAAATTAGGTCTTTTTTACGCGCGAGTATCGTCTAGACATGCACACAGCACTCAGAAAGAGAACAGAAGAAGAAGAAGAAGTAGTAGAAGTAGATATCGTCTGGGAAAGCCAACAGAAATCTATTTCTGTAGTTAAAGAAGAACGTGGTACTGCGACAAATTGATCCGTGCAGTGGCAGCTGGCAATATTAAAAATTAATGCAGGCATCAGTTTTCATATACATATATATATATATATATAATTGTGTGTGTGTGTGTGTGGTGTGTGTGTGTGTGTGTATGACGTCTTGACGATATAAGCCTCATGTATACGCTAGTGTAACAGAATATCTCGACTTTACCAATAATATCAGGAGTAAGATAATATAGGATCGCTATATTATCTTACTCCCTGATCTAGGAAACGCAACCAGGTTGCATCTCATCTCTTCACCTGAACTTTCGCGCAACCACGCACGCACATATTTTGTTCGTTTTCAAGTCTTCTGACGGGAACATTTTGTTTCTCTGTTACGATTTTATTCTTAGAATGAACTAAACATTTGTGCTACAATTTGCTCTACAAGTTATTCTTACGCGCTTTTCTCCGGGCAACGCCGGGTATCCAAGATAGTACATATATATATATCAGAGTGGATAATAGAGAGAGTATGTCACGGTTTAATCAGGCGTTTTTTGCATAGTTTTAACTGGTAAATTAATCTATCATATAGGTGAAATAAATATATTCAAACTTTACCGTTGTTTCTCATCTATGAGTTCTCCCTTCGTCATATGACAGCCATCATTTACCTGAAAATCGTAATGTGTTTCTCCAAAAAACGTTTTAGTTGAATAACGAAACACGGTTTCCCACATTTTCACGGCATGGATGCATCTCTCCGACCCAACTTTGTTATGGACTAGTGTTTTCATTGTCTATTGACGGTACGCTGGGGCGCGTAAGAGAATCAGTCTGGCTAGGCTAGCGGCCGTGAGGGCGCATTTTTATTTTAGCACGCCTGGAAAACCGCTGCAACGCTGGATTACAATTCGATGCCTAATATCTCGTCATACGACCCCAAAGCTTCCGTCATAGACAATAGAACACTAGTCCCATTAACAAAGTTGGGTCGGTAGAGATGCATCCATGCGTGAAAACTGTGGGGAAACCGCTTGTCGTATTCAACTAACTTTTTTGCAAGAACACATACGATTTTCAGGTTAAATTGTGTGTGTCAATATGACGAAAGAGGAGAATTATAGATGAAAAACAAGCCGTAAAGTTGAATATATTTATTCACATATTGACGTAGATTATTTACCAGTGAAAACTATGCCAAAACGCTGTTAAAACCCGTGACATACTCTTCTCTATTATCCACTCTTGATATATATATATTATTATATAATTATATATATATATATATATAATATATAATATATATATACCGTTTGATGCACGGAGGGTACGTCAGGATGGAGTATCTACGAGCTTCCATCGCTCTGTTGTCATCTCGTGGGAGGCAGGAGGAGCAACCGTGGGTTATATACGTACGTGCACCGTGTATTGCTTATAGGCGTGCACAAATACACACGGGCCTTCATTGCCGCCCTTCCCCCAACGAGGTAATAGAGTCTACTAACGTGTTTGGGCTGAGGCGGAATAATGGACCGACTGAGTAAGCTACCGACACGCTTGTTTAGTTATAATAAATGCTGGAAACATAGCCAATATAACTATTTATTTATAATGTGGATATTCGACCCTTGTTTTCGCTGGGTAGTATTGTTGTTGGGGCGTGCGGGTTGCAAGGTCAGAGGCACAGTTTGAAATCAAAATAAATTGGGGAAGCAGTCAGTTTCTCGAGTTTTTTTTCGAAAATCAAAGAACTGTGCGCAAGTGTTAACATGAGTAATAATTGGACACTGCTGTGTGTGTTTCGTCGGTATCATTACTGTTGTGCTGATGTTGTTGTTGTGGTTGTGGCTGCTCTTTATTGTTGCTCTTGGCTTGTGTCGCTGCGAGTGTTTCCGCTAGCGTCATCGTTGTAGAGATGACGACCTTCAAGGCTAATGATCTTCAATGTCATTTGAAGGTCGTAGTGCTGTGCACGGCGCATGCGCCAACCCGTGCCTTCGCACTGAGCGTTGGAGTCATAGATTTATCTATACGCATAGTATGTGTGTAAACAGTGGACAGCTATGGTTGGGGCGACAGTCTGGGAATGAATGCATTCATCTGCAGGCATTTGCTAGGGACGACAAAGCAAGGGTTATTCTGTCCATCTGTCCGTGTGGGTGGTATCGGTCTTCCGCTAGGAGTGAAACAACGCCTTCTAGCGGTGGAGAGGGGAAGGAGGTATGCGTGGGAGTAGTTGCAAGTGATCAAGGCCACCCAGCATCTGTTGCGAACGAGAAAGAGAGAGGGAGAGAGAGCGAAAGAGCGAGAGAGGGGGAGTGAAGTATGATGACCGGAAACAGCACAAAGAGCTCCCTGTTGACGAACAGGAGTGCGCATGCGCGCACGGAAACGAGTAACAAGCGAAGCAGAAGTGCGACCGGCGGCTTTCTAGCCGAGTGAAAAAAACACCGTGTTTTTTCAAGGAAATTCACTCGGCATGTGTAACAGCGACACAAGACGCACGACCGCAACTGTTTTCTTTGGGAAAATTTTATTCTAACCAACATGCCGCAACCTAGCAACGCGCGCGAGCGCATGCGCACGTGTATTTACGTACGAGGCGCTAAGATGTTCGGCCTGCAGGTTTCGTTACACGATGCCGTAGAAGGCACGTTGAACTTACACTGTAGTTTGGGTTGCTAGTATAGTTGTGTGGGCGGCAGCTTCCTGTCACGGAAGGTCATGAGAAGGTCATGAGAAGGTTGTGGTCGATGGCGTCTGCACTCCGCTACAGAGCGCATGCGCCCATGCTTGAACCATTCGTTGAAAATGAAACCTACACATGTCGCATCCATCCATCCATTCATTCATCCATCCATCCATTAGTTTACTTATCATCGCTCGCACAGGAGCACGCAAGCACGTTTAAATTACAAACTACATCGGTGTTTAACAAGAGTTTTACTTAACTTAAGGTGCGTTAGTCCCGGGAGAAGAAGAGATTGCACATGGCTTACATGGTACGTTGTACATCTCTGTGACAACTCAAGCCTAGTCGGTTATTCGCTTAGTTACGATTCACTGTGGACAGTTTTGACCGGTTCGTCAAGAATTTAATGACAGAAAATAAGAAAATAAATAAACATGCCGAATGTAAAACCAGGAATGTTAGCTAAATTTAATCTTAGTCTAGTCCCCGCGAGTTTATTTTATTTTTTGCCCTGATCTTGACTAGCTCATTTGTATTCAGCACAGCAGCTTGCGTTCACGTGGCATCATCAAAATATTCTCATATTATCAAAATGAGTTATTCTCGTGGCTCGCGGTACATTCGCCTGTTTGTTTCCTCGGTCAATAAATGAACAAAGACCAATCGAGCTTCTTTTTCCTCTTACAATTTTATCTCAGTATTTGATATACTGCAGTTGCCCTCTCTCTCTCTCTCTCTCTCTCTCTCTCTCTCTCTCTCTCTCTCTCTCTCTCTCTCTCTCTCTCTCTCTCTCTCTCTCTCTCTCTCTCTCTCTCTCTCTCTCTCTCTCTCTCTCTCTCTCTCTCTCTCTCTCTCTCTCTGTCTCTTCCGCACACACGCACAAAAAATCGAGACAAATTTCCCCGGAACGAACTGAGGAATGAATTACGGGAAGTATTAAGGATCGGGTTTCCTAATTAATTAATTAATTACAAATGCTGAGTTGTCCTGGACGAATCATCCATGATGAATTGTCCAGGAATGGATTTTTCATAACTTGCCGCGCTAGGAGTTCCATAGTACTTCATGCTCGCATATTATATTAATTATTATCTTTTATACATTCGTAATTTTGATTTATATTGAGATGAACTGTATTTTAAGCTCATAATTTCGATTCGTTATTTTGCAGGTTAAGCATCGGTACGGAATATATAGACAATGTTGATCACGGGAGGGCGTGTTACAGACAAGGAACCGTTCTGGTCCATTGTCCTACTGCTGTTCTTCCTCATAGACATCCAGATAGGTGAGTTCTAGTCTAGATTCACGAGTTTGGATAGTTTGTCGCACCAACTTTGTCATAGTCCAAGTTACTGGGGGGCTCCTCCTATACGATTTACGTTTTACGATTGATATACGATTCGATAGTATATGGGGGGGGGGGGTTGCAAGCTGAATTCCTAGATGTTCATTTGTTGCCGAATCTGAAAAACTCGCTTCAACACGATTTTTGAAAATGAGAACAAGTGTATGTCGCATTGGTTGTTAGGCTTGAGCGGACATTTACTGACTCTATATATACACCCAGTAAATGAGAAGGCGCGAGAATACCCATGCGCATTATGCTTCAAACTAACACAAGCACTAATTATCATCTAGTAACGTGTAATCAGGGGTTAATAGTGACAAATTTGTCGTTATTAGCCCCTTATGCAATGAAGCAAAGCTTCATCCAGTATAAATATGCTACCGAATAGGTATTTTTTATAAGTCTGTGTATATACGTTCACCTAACATTAAGGTATACGGCGTGTTCCGGCGTGTTTAGCAATGTTTGGCTGCTGTTTGCTGTATGTACAGGCCAGAACATGGAGGTTATACGCTTAAGCAGAATTGTAACTCCATAGCTTTTGAAGCCATACGCCATAAGCCATTGAAGTGTTGACGTTCCGTAGATTTCTTACTGTCGAGTCACACCGGGACGCGAAATTTTTTTCCCCACTTGAGTTCCGGACCCACCATAGATAGTGTTTTGTAATAAATGGTTCTTATATATATGGTTGGATTATAGTTAGTGTTAGGGTTCGGTTACATGTTAGGGTTCGGTTACATGTTGGGTTAGGGTTAGGGTTAGGGTTAGGGTAGAGTCCCTATATACAGAGACTCTGTATATAGGGACTCTAGGTTAGGGTTAGTGTTAGGTGGTATTCATTTTACATTGTTGCTTCGAGGAAGTCGAGTGAATGGAGTGCGCTGATTGGCTGTGGTCCGGAACTTAAGTGAGAAATTTTTTTTCCCACCGTGACGTCATTACTCGCAGTTTCACGCTTCAACGGCCTAGCATTTCCTAGGCGTAGCATTACACCATACTTACAAGTTATATTTCGAGTAGCGCAACGCGATTTGCAATATTCGTACTCGCGTTAGTGACTGCACAATTTTTTTATAGTATAGAATGATTAGCTAGTGAATATTATTAGCAGACACAGCCAGCCCATGGTCCGCATCTGGGATGCTTTCATCTCACTTGAGTTTTTGCTTTGGAACGTCTACTACACTCATCAACTCTAGATCTTATACAGAATCTCTCGCTCATGTCCCTAGTCTAGTACATTACGTGTACTCGCTCGTGTACGTGCGTGTGTATATATATAACAACCATATATAACACCCGGGGCCTGTTGTTTGTTAGAATTTGCTATGCATATTTTATAAGCATTATTTATAAGCAACACTTGCAGGTGTTCATGGTGGGTTCGGTAGCGGATGTTGTTACCGTACGTCTCAATTTCTCATCAATAGCTTCTTTTTCATCGATGAATTATCACCGTTTTTG